ACCTGACATTTGCAAAAGTGTAAAATGATGCCATTTTTCTCATTTAAGTTTTAATTTGGGAAATATAGTTATCGTCCATAAAAGTTCTGAATATAGTTTGTGTTGTTTGTGTGAACATAAAAAAACTGGACTTATTATCATTTCAAAATGAATAAGTTTATAAATTTTTTTAAAAAACACATTACCTGCTCCCTTCCCTTGGGGTGGCGAATCTCCTCTTTCTCTCTCTCTCTGTCTCTCTCTCTCTCTCTCTTTCTCTAATTTACTTTACAAATAAACTGTGTTTTCTAATCTTAAAAAAATTACCTGATTAGGAGTAGAGTAGAAAGATGCACATGAGGAACCCTAAAAAAACCCAGAATTATCTTTTGGAGAATGAGCAGTACTACACTCAGAATTTGTTCCTCTGGATCAAACAATCAACCAGTGTTTTTATCTGGAAGTTTTAAGAAGGTTGAATCATGACTTGCAGAAGAAACATCTCGAGTTGTAGCAAACAGGTGACTCGTTCTTCCACCATGACAACGCACCTGCCCACCTCAAGCTGAGTATTCAGTAGTTTTTGTTTTGTTTTGTTTTTTTGTTTTTACCAAAAATGGTATAATTCCCATGCCCCACCCTCCCTATTCACCTGATGTCACTCCACGGGACTTTGTTTTGCTTCCCTGGATGAGAAAACTCCTCAAAGGGAAACATTTTGCCAATGTGAAAGAGGTGAAACAAAAAAAAAAAAAAAACCAGCAGAAGCGCTAAAAGGCATCAAAATTGATGAGTTCAAAAAGTGTTTTGAGCAGCGAAAAAGCATCTTGATAGGTGTATTACATCAAACGGAAAGTACTTTTAAGGTGACTGAAGTTTAAATTCCAGAATTTTGGGGGTGTCCCCTCTCATATGGTTATGTCAATTACCCACATTGTTCTCTGTGCCACAGACTGGGGACTTTGGGTTCATTTGTGGTATAGTCAGAACTCAGAACACTGAGGATACAGCTAGAACTAGCTAGTCTCACCTTGGCCAGAAGAGCCTGATGACAGTATCTCACCTGGATAAAGTACACACCGCGATCCAGGCAGAGTTTCTTCCAAGAGATTTCCGTACATTAATGCCTTTATTTCTTATAACAGCCCTCAAAAGTAGAAACCACTAGAGCTCCCATTTTACAAATGGAAAAAAATCAAGGCACAGAGAGGTTAGGTAGTTTGCCCAAATTCACACAGCTGTTAAGATAGATGTTCCATGGCTTTTTGTACTAACTGCAATGTATCCATTTGGGCTAGCAATGAAATTCGTTATTAATCATTGGGAGGAGAGAAGACAGGGGGCATGGGGTTTGTAAAAGGCCCATCGGGAAACTTCACAGAATGAGTGACAGATGAGGAGGGCCTGAGCTGAGGCAGGAGCCGTGGAGATTGTGGGGCAGGGGTGGACAGGGAGAGGCAAAGGGGATTTGTTAAATAAAGAACATTCCAAGATGCGGTCGATGTTGGACATAAGCAGGTGGTAGAGGAAGCTAAGGTTAGAACGATTCCCGGTGCCCGACTTGCCCAGCTGGGTAGATGGTGGTGCCGTGATCCAAGACAAGGTGTGCAAAAGGAGGAGCAGGTTTGGGAAGAAGCGGGTTAGTTCCATTTGTGAAGTTTGGTTTTCTATACCTGTGATATGTCAACATGACAGTTAAGATTTGTTAGGTAAATGGATACCCAGATCTGGAGCTCAAGAGAGGACTGAGCTGAAGATAGAATTTGTGAGCTACCAGCAGACAGGAAGTGGGGACTAGATATGAGTACTCAGTTGAGGGGTGAGAACAGAAGAGAGCCAAGTGAATGCCACTATGTCAAATATCAGCAGAGGGGGAGAGCAAAAGAAGTGGACAAGGGCTAGAGAGAAAGAAGAGAGCAGGCGGAGGAGGCAGCACAGAGGCCAAAGGATAGTGTCCAGAGACAGAAACAGGACAGAGAGTCTCTCGGAAGAACCGAGGGGAGTGAGTGTCAAGGCGTTTGGCAATCAGGATGCCATGGGTGGCCTTAGAGAGAGCAGTTTGGGCGGAGTGATTGGGACAGAAGGAATAAAAACTGTGGCTTGGGGATAGGAGGGAAATGGGCTTGGAGGAGCACAGAATAGAGGAGGGGCAGATACATGTTTGCAAAGTTCAAATTATGGGATTCTTACACTCTGAATTCCATCTTTCTCCAGAGCCTTCCAAATAATCATTGTAATGACCCATGATCATAGGTAACATTTAATGAGTACTTTCTATGAGACAAACACCTAACTTCTATATTTAATTTTAAACCTCATAATAAGTCTATAGAGTAGACAATATTATTATCTCCATTTTAAAGATGACAAAAGTAAATTTTGGGGAGGTGAAACAACTTATCCAAGCTGCAGAACTGGTGAAGAGGAGGCCCAGGATACAAACTCAGGCAGTCTGGCGTCAGTCATTTTGTTCTTACACACTACACTGTGATCTGTTGCCACAAAGAAACATCGCTGACAACCCATCTCCTAGTATTATGCACCTAGGTGCTTTCTGCCCTTCTGCTATGTGTATAGCTTTAAATTTCTTAATTAATATACTTCAACAGCCATATTTCCTTCTTTCAACCCCATCTCATTGCTCCTTATTTGTCAAGGGCTTGAGTGATTAACACACAGAACACTGTGGGTGGGCTGATTTAACAAAGCCAAATACTGGGAGCCCCCCTTCAAAAAAGGGAAAAGAAAAGAGGCATTCATCCAGGAAATCCACCTGGTTCTATCCTGAAATATAAATGCTTATCCAAAAGAACCTTAAAGGAAAACATTTAGCTGATGATTGAAATGGCTTAATGCAGAAAACCATGCTGCACACAGCAGCAGTTCTATCCAACATTCTAAAGTCATTTCAAAATATTTTTCAAGGCTTTTGTAAATTCCTTGCCAAAAGAGATGAGAAACACTACACTTGGAAAGACACAGTTTAACCCACAAGAACGCCAACAAAAGTTGATAACGATTCAAAAACACAATTTTTATATGTTTATACAACCTACCAGAAAATAATTTCAGAATATGAAGTCTTTGAGATGATTCTTAAGTTAACTCTGCCACTACAAAGGCTTTATGTTAAGGAACTTGAACACTCTGGACTTCCCCAGTCTTTCCAGCACTGTCATTCAAAGACTTCTTCCAGATCAGGGTTTTCAAGCACGCCTAAGACCCCAGTAGGAAATTTTACATCTTGGTCCAGTATATATCCACACAGGCATCCATACACATTTAACTGAAACAAATTTTTCACAAAATAATACCCTCACCACATGCAATCAATATTTTCTATTCTATTTTATTTGTTACAAATTCTGATCCTAACACACAAAATTGATTTTATGAAAGCTTAAAGGGTTACAACCCACAGTTTAAAAAACTCTGTTCTAGAAGATCAAAATATAAGCACTCCAGCCAAAGATCTGCATGTGGAAAAATCTGCAGAAAGTGTATACGAGCTTTAGAATTAGACAGACGTGGATTCCAATCACAATTCTTCAGTTTATAAGCTGAACGCTTGGGAATGTTCCTCCATCTCTCTTACCTTCCATTATCTCTCCTCACCCCTTTTCAAACTGCTGGGACAATTAAATTAGAGGGCACCAAAAAAGGCATCTAGCACTCAGGAGCATTTATTCATTGAACAAATATATATTGGGTATCAGGGGCTGTCCTAAAGGCAAGGCATACAGAAATGAACAAAATCAGCATTCCAGTGGTTATAGACAGACCATAAAGAGATGAACAGAGACTATATTCGGAAGCCATAAGGACTGTATTTGTTTCTTATTGTTGCCATAACAAATTACCACAAACCTAAAGACCTAACACGAATTTATCATTTTGCAGTTCCAGAAGTCATAAGCCCAACCTGGGTCTATTTGAGCTAAAACCAAGGTGTTAGCCAAGCTGTGTTCCTTTTGGAGACTCTAGACAAGAATTCATTTCCTCGTCTTTTCCAGACTCTAGAGGCTCCCACACTAATTGATTTAGGGCCACCTTCCATCCTCAAAACCAGCAACAATGGGTTGTTGGGTCCTTCTAACATCAAACCACTTTGACTCTGCTTCTAACAGCATATCTCCTTCTCTGACTCTGACCCTCCTGCTTTCGTCTGGGAAGGATCCATGTATTTAGATTAGGCCCATCAGATAATTCAGGATACTCTCCCCATCTCAAGATCCTTAATGCAATCACATCTGCAAAGTCCTTTTAGACGTGTAAGGTAACATAATCACAGGTTCCAGGGAATAAGAGCCATCTTTAGGGATACCCTTTATCTTATACTGTGAAGACCTTGGCACTGACAGTTTCATTCTTCTCAGTTTCAGCCAATTGCATACAACCCCAAAAAGTTTGTGGTTTTGGTCATCGGTATTGTTTGGTCATTTGTCTCTCGAGCCTGGGCTTCTGAGCAAGCTGGAACTGCTGAGTGAGCCCAGCAAACAGCCAAAGATCTGCAGCCCAAGGCTCTTTCTTTGGTCTTGCCCTGTCGACACTTGAGTTCTAGAACAGGGCTACAGTAACAAATGCACTTGTAATTTTCCTGAATTTGTTATTATTGTCTTCATTTTTGAACCCTGGGGCACCAAGCAGGAAGAAAAACTTCATTTGAAAGTTGAAAAGATTGACTTGTGGTGTGAGAATATGCACAGAAATATGATAAAGACAAAAGTTAAGTGTGTATGAAGAGTGACTGAAGTGTGTTTCCAAATTTGGGGCTGGACTTAGGTCTCGGGGTATATCCTTCAAGAGCATCAGAGTCCTCTGTTTTGTGTGTCTTCCCTCCTACTTTCATGAAGCCCAAATTTTGAATGTAGAGACTGAAGAGTCACTAATCCTGTCACAACCATATTGACTGTGCTGTGTTGTTCAAATGACTAAAGAAGCATGGAAAGTTCTATATGCCTACAGTGACAAGTCACTGGTCTGATTTGTTATGTGATCTTGGTTCATATGTTTTGTTTCAGGGAAAACTTGATGCCTTGTGGGTCCTACTGAGGAAAGGATATGATCGTGTGTCTGTGATGCGTCCACAGCCAGGAGACACGGTAGGATTCATTTATTCATTGATGGTCTCTCTCTCTCTCTCTCTCTCTCTCTCTGTCTTTGTAGATCTAAACTAACTTTGAGTTCTAGAACAGGGCTACAGTAACAAATGCAGCTATTATTTAGTGTTGTGACAAAGATATTAATTTTCAAAATTCTGGTTGTAACAATACCTTGAGTATTGATCTTCTTTTCTAAAAATGATTTTGAGAGAAATATGTTGGATTTAACTTTCTAGAACTTGAACTTCTCAGTATATAGATACAATGAGCAAATAAATTGGGACTAGTCCTGTACTTTGGGCAGTCCCAGGAGGAGACCTGCTGGTCCTCAGCCACACTGGCCAGTGGTGAGGGGCAGAGGACCAGTGCTGCAAGGATGAGGTGAGGGAATAAGGGGACACGGAAAACGCTTACCATCTTCCAGCAGGTGTTGGGCCCAAGGGTCCAGGACCATAAGGGGATCTTCTAGCCTTGGTGAGGACTTGTCTAGGTACAAGTATCTCCAGCTAAGGGAAGTTATAACAGGTGGAGTCAGCAGAGACCTTAGAAACCATGCAGCTCATGCCTTCGTTTTGTAAATAAGGAAACAAAAGACAAGAGAAGTTGAAAAACTTGTTACGATTCAGATAGTAAGTTACAGCGCTGGAAACAGCCTCAATTCTGCTGAAATCCCACCACTGCTATTTCTTCGTGTAAGAGCTGGTCTCTCTTCCACAAGTTTTACAAAACAAAACTTGGAACCAGTTATCCCTCAACCACCAGCGACCTGCATTTTCCATCCACCTCTTTGGGAATCAGGCACTTTAACCCAAAAGCAAAATAAAGGTGTCTAATTTAGAATTACTTTCAAATCAAGCTGGCTTGGGTTTTAACCTCACTTCCTTAACTCCAGGCAAGTCACCTAACCTCTCTGTACTTCATCTTGGTAAAGTAGATGACAGTAACTACTTCTTTGTGTGTCTGGTTGGAGAAGATAATGTTTGTAAAGCCTTTGGGCCACTGATGAACACATAAGAGTAATCAATGGCAGATATTTTTATGGTTATTAACTTTGTGCTGTTCTGCTGTCTATGGATGGTTGATGCAAATTCAAGCCATATTGCAGTGTGTTTGTATGGAATTTACTCCGTCTTCACTCAGCTCACTCGGCAACATGGCACAGCTAAGAAACACTAGAACGGAGCCTGGTAGACAGGCCCTGCCACCCCTTCACTTTGCACCTGATGACAATGGGGGTTTTATGGCTGAGGAGACAGTCTAAAATTTCATAGCTTTTGTGAGCTACTGCCCAGTTAGCTGTTTCTGCTCCACACTGTGGCTGGAACAGCAGACAAGTCAAAATGTGAAATTAGGCAATAAAAATTCTGAATAGACTTGACCCTTGTGACATATGAAATTTGAAATTTTGTCTGTGACATGAACAAATTTCTATACCAAATTTTAAATTAAAACTCTACAGTTAACAGAAATAAACATAGGACATAAAGTAGGTACTTGGGGAGGTGTTTGGTCTTATAAATTGTACACCTGGTTTCTGTGGAAAATGAAGAAAATTTTTAGCATGCATGAGACTCATCAAAGAAAGATTAAAAAAATAATAAGATACCTGAACTAGAGCTCAGTAGTACTATTTTTTGTGACAGACGGTGCTGGTACAGTGTATAATCCTATTTTCTTTTTTAGAGCAGCTGAAAAACATCTCTACTAAAATATGGTAACATTCCACTCTCCACTGACCAGTCTGGCAGAAACAAATTCATAAACTGAACCAACCTAAGAAAGATATTAATTTTCAAAATTCTGGTTGTTAACAAGACCTTGAGTATGGATCTGCTTTTCTGAAAATGATTTTGACAGAAATATGTTGGATTTAACTTCCTAGAACTTAAGCTTCTCGATATATAGGTACAATGAGTGAATAAATTGGGACCAGTCCTGTGCTTTGGGCAGTCTCAGGAGGAGGCCTGCTGGTCCTCAGCCACACTGGCCAGTGGTGAGTGGCAGAGGACCAGTGCCGCAAGGATGAAGTGAGGGAATAAGGGAGCACGGAAAATGCTTACTGTCTTCCAGCAGGTGTTAGACCCTTGGAAGGGGAGAAGAGTAGAAAGAAATATTATTATTTGTAAGATAGAAGAATCAACACTGTTTGGGGGCAAAAGGCTGATTATATAAATTCAAGAACAATGGAATTTTCTCTAATGAATCACACCTAAGTTGAACACCTAATTCTGAATGACAGTTTGTATTCACATCTGAAGATGTTCTGTAAGTTTCTGAGAAAAACAATACCACCTTGAACTTTTATTCTCCAGTCACAAATAAGACTAAATTAGAAGTCAAGGAAGTTTAAGAATTAGGTAGATACATTAGAACATATTCTCAGCTCTGTCACCAATCACAATTGTCCAGTTTACTTTTAGATGGACTCTCTTTATGAAATCCTGCTAAAATTACAAGATACATGAGAGAAATACATGCAGAGAGTTGTGTCCTTGTTGTCATGGTGGCAGCCACAGACATTTTGATGTACACATGGAGATACACAAGAAAAGTCGCATATTAATTCAGAGCCAGAATTAGAGCTGCCAGTGGCTACTCAGGAAAGAATTATAGGGAAAGGGAGGACACTATTATAGCTTTGTATACATGCTTATTCTGTTTTGTTTCGCATGACTTTAGGAGACTCACTAGAGACCTGCATTGCTTGCACGGTGATGACTCTGTAAGAATTCCTCAGCACTGATTTATGGGACTGACCACATTTTCCATAAACTTGAAATGACTGCATCCAGGCATGTGCTCATGAACAAGAGTCACAGGTTCTGAATTTTTCCTTTAAAACAAAACAAAAACAAAAGTCACCTAATTACATTCTCGGTTACATTCTGAATTGCTTCAAACACATGTTGACCTCACAGAAACCTGGCAGTTCTTTCTCTGCAGTTCCTGTCTCCTTTATCCCCCCTTCCCTCCCCCAGCTACTCCACCCCAGCCCTGCAGATGCAGACACAGGCCCACCAACAGAGCTTCTGAGGCTGCTGAAAGGCCTGAGTGCCTCCAGCCCCAGTGCAGAGCCAGGGCTGGGGGAGGCCTGAACCCAGAGCCACAGCCCCTTCCTGGGATTGGTGCCCACCTCCTCAGAGCCATCCAGTCCCAGATCAGGAAAAGACATGATGAGACGGCAGTAGGGGACATGAATGCTTCCCATCTGCCGTCACCCATCTTCCACTTTCTGCCTGGGGTGGGCTCATGGCCCCATTGTTTCTTGGGGTCCACCAGGAGATCCCTGGGCCAACATAAAAGAGAAAGTGCCAAAAGAAACCACTTGAATGGCAACACATCTGATTCTAAGATTGTTCAAGTCACTAAGCAGTGTCTCCATGCTCCCAGGATGTAGCCACCACAGAGCACCTCGTAAAACACAGATCTCAACACACCATACCTCTGCTTCAGACTTGAAAAATGAGGGAAAAGTCCAAAATCCTTAGGTTGATTTAGAAAAGAATGTCTTTCCATTTCATCTGCTGCTCACTCTAGGTTCCCTCATCCCCTCTAAACAGGCTCCGAAGACATGGAATTAATTGCCTGCCAGGCCCTGAATGTGCCAGGATCTTTTGTGGCTCTGTCCCTTTACTAAGTTTCTCTGCTTGGAATTCCTTTCCCATCCTCTCTACCTAGTGAACGTCTATCAGCTTCATAATATTTTTTCATTATTCCCAGTGTCCCTATAAAGATAAAAGAAACATGCTTTAAAGGGAACATTGCCAAAGGAGAACATATTTGACAGATACTAAGCAAAGGGTTAGATGCAGTGGCTCATGCTTGTCATCAAAGCCTTTTGGGAGGCCAAGCCAGGTGGATTGCTTGAGTCTACCAGTTTGAGACCAACTTGGGCAACGTAGCAAGACCTTGTCTCTACAAAAAAAGTCAAAAAAATTAGCCAAACATGGTAGCATGTGCCTGTAGTCCCAGCTACTCAGAAGGCTGAGGTGGAAGCATCGCCTAAGCCCAGGAGGTCAAGACTGCAAGTGAGCCATGATTGTGTCACTGCACCACTGCACTCCAACCTGGATGACAGAGTGAGACCCCGACTCAAAAATTTTTAAAAAGAAAGAAAAAGAAAGTTAGAACCTGTGTTCCATGAATATTTTCCAGAATGGTCCCCAAGTTTTTCTATATAGCTTAGCTATTCTTTGAGTTCAGAAAATTTGCTCATCTTTCAAGAACAAATGGTTGAAGGAATTTAGAATGTTTGATCTGAGAAAGAATAATTATAGGAGCTGTGAGAACTTAATAACTTGGTCCTTTCTTGGTTATTACATGATGCATCTCATTTTGTAACCTATTTTTTTAATTTTTAATTTTAAAGATGTGGAGTACAATTCAGGGTTAGGTGTACAAATGTTCATTATGCCGGTACCCTTGTTGATAAGGTGTACCCGCCCCCCTGGCAGATTCCCACTACTGCCAATCCCGCCCCCCAACCCCCAGCAGTTTCCCACTACTGCCAATCCTTTTCTTATAGTATTATGATAATTGTTCAAAGTCTAACCTATTTTTTATCACTTCACTATATTCAAGGAATAACCTTTCCATGTCATTACATATCCTTGCATAGCATCAATTTAATGACTGTGTCATGTTTCACTGTGCATCTTCCTTTTCTGGACATTTATTGGTTATTTATTATTATAAAGGAAACTGCAGCCAGTATCCTTGGAACCAAATCACTGCGCACATTCATGAATGTTTTCTCAGGATAAAATGTCCAGCTTTCTACTAAATCAAATGACATGCAAAATTTTAAAACATTGGTACATATTGCCAGATTGTTCTCCAAAAGATTACACAAATTAATCCTCACATCTATGAAAAGCCCATCTCCTCAAGATGCTCACCAACATTATTGAACTTACTTATTGGATAGGTACTAATTTAACTTGCATTTTTATTATTAGTGAGGTGGAACAGTTTTGTATATGTTCATTTCCTTATTTGTCAATTGCCTGTACATGGTTTGGCCCATTTTTCTATTGAATATTTTAGTGTTTATTTTTATATGATCTTTTTCCTAGCCCATCTTCATTTATATATTAATCAAATGACTGAGTGCCTACTATGTGTCAGACTCTGTGCTGGCATTAAGCATATGGTGCCCACTCATGAAACTTAAGACCTAACATATTATATATACTGTATATATGTATATATTTATATTTATTTATGTATTATATAGCCAAAGTTTTCCTAATATATCATTTAACTTTTAAAAAATATATTGACGTTATCTACATTTTATAGTCAAATCAATAAATCTTTATAATTTCTGCCTTTGGTTTCAAATTTAGAACAGTTTCCCTACTCCAAGAGAACGTAAATTCTCACAGAAATTTCCCCTGTACTCTACTCCCTCGGTCTCAGTTTTTGGTGGTAATATGAATTGTCACCTTTTCTGTCTCTTCATGCGTATTTTAGTGTATATTTGGGAAAGACTCCTTTTGGAGCTATGAGTCATATGGTATATTAAACTAGAAGTCCTAGAACATTATCTTAAATTCTTTGAAGTGTATATAGACTGTGACTTGTGCCATCCCAATGAACAGAATTAGCCACACAAAGTTCCAGGTAACTAGTGTTACCAAACAGGGATTACACAGATTAAAACACTAGGCCAGGATACACTAGAGAATTCCTGTAGCAGACCACGGTCCTCAAACTTGAGCATCAGAATCGCCTAGAAGGTTTGTTAAAACACAGCTTGCTGAACCCATCCTCAGAGTTTCTGGTTCAGGAATTCTGAAGTGGGGCTTGGGAATTAGCATTTCTAACAAGCTTCTGGGTGATGCTGATGCTGCTGATTTGGGGACCACCACACTTTAAGAATCAGTAAGATAAGGAACTAGATGAACTTCAAGGTCCCTCTAACCGTGAGAGCATGGGAACTTAAGTCGACATTTATACATTTATTTGACCATCTAGCCACTACTTTTCTTTATTCCACCATAAAATACCTGTTAACACAATGAGAGACTAGTCTAGCTTAAATCTAAATATTAAGTCCTAACCGGTAGTAGAGAAATTCTTCCCAGCTACCGGCAGTTCTGTTTCTAATTTATTAATTTCAAACACAGAAATGTAAGGGAATTCGGTGATCAGAGTCCATGGACAGCAGTGACTTTCAACTTGATTGCACATCATGATCAGCTGGAGAGCTTTAAAGTACTGATGCCCAGGTCCCTCCTCAAAGGTTCTGTTTAATTGCTCTGGGATGAGGTCTGGGCACTGGGATTTTAAACACTCCCTAGGTGATTTCAATGGGCACTCAGGGTTGAGAACCAATGAGCTGGTGAAGTTCCCTATTTTTCAACCAGGGAGCACAGCATCTTCTCTTTCCTTCTTGAAACAACTTAAGGGGCCACTCTTCACATTCCTTTTAGAAACCCTAAGGGTCTGATGCGCATAAGGGAAAGGATGATCTCAATCTTCATGTGCTTTCAATAGTCCCTTTCCTTCCAGGAAGATGGTTAACCTAGATTCTGGCTGCCATGTCACTGTTACTGCTTGGGCAAAGTGGATGGAAAAGAAAAAGAGAACTCTGCCTCATATGTCTTTTCTGGATAGAATTCCATCAATCTACATACCAGCCTGAGCCCTCCCGGTCACTTTTACCCTGATTCAAATTCTACCCCACTTCGCATGCTCCCAGAGGACCCACTGGGGTTGGGTGTCATCTTTGTTTTCAGCTCCTTGGTTTCTCTCAGATCTGGCATCAGGAGACTGGTACATTCCATTACTATCTACAAGAACAAAATGCTAAGGCTCACTCTGAGCTTGTTTTGCAAGCCCGGGTCTCCTTGCAATCAGAAGAGACCCAAGGAAACACACACGTAAATGCACATAAACAATGTTTGAAACTCATCTGAAGTGAAGCCCCAGAGGTTGTGAAATCCTCCCTCAAGCTCCAGACCCAGGGCTGCCGTTTGTGCAGCTGTTTCCAATAAGGGCGTGAGGCCGGTCACATGGGTACCATGTCTCCTTACTGTCGCAGAAGCAGGAACAGCCTGGTCCCTCTAAAACAGATGAGCCTCCTTGTGACATAAGCAGACCTCAGAGAAAGCATCTGCCTCTTTATTTCTCTCTCTCTCCTCTCCTCCCTCCTTCACATTTCCAGCATTTCCTCTTTCTTCTTCCCCTTTTCCTCCCCCTCTGCCTCCCCCCACCTCCACCACCCCACCCCCCAACCAGTTTCCAAGGCTTGCTATGGCTGCCTTTGCTCAAACAAAGACCTATTGCATTCCCACTAAGAATCCATTTCTGGAGTGGGCACTAGGGATGCCGATTAGAAGAGAACTAAATTCTGGCTTCCAGGAGTTCAGAGTATGGAAGGTGTGGAAGAGAAGAGAAGTCAGTGTTGTATTAACTGCAAGCAGTTACAGAAGCACAAACTCACGATAACTTTGGGGATAACTATGATCTCTATTTCACAGAGCAGAAATTGAAGTTCAGGGGAAGGCTATTAACTTCCCCAAGGATACACGACTGGTAAGGGGCAGGTCTGGGACTTGAATTCAGGACCAGACTTGAAAGTCTGCACTAGGGATTCCTGAACTGCTTCATGCATTCAACAGATACTTGCCAGGCATATTCTAAGAGCTACGCACCGTGTTAGTGCTGGGTGTTCAAGATGAATGAGCTCTGTCCCTGCCTCCAAGGAAAAGGAACAAACAGGCAAATCCTCAAGCACTGCCCAGTGTGAAAGGCTCTTTGGTGGAGCTGAGTACATGAGGTATGGGGAATACACCCAGGAAGGACTTCTCACCCGCTTTAGAGTCAAAAATTGCTTCTTGAAGTGATGTTTAACTTGAAAAGAGGGAATAACAGGACAGAATATTCTAGTAAGAGGGAAGCTTTGGGCCAAAGATCTGCAGCTGAGACTGTGACTCCTTCAGGGATATAAAAGGAATGGGGTACAGAGGAGGGCAGTGTGCCAGGCTGTGAGGAAGGACTGAGGTGAAGAAGCACATGGGGTGCTGGCCATGGGACCCTAGTCTACCTGGTGAGAAGTTTGTACTCCACTCTGAGGACGGTGGGGACT